GGGAGTGACGGGGAGCTCGTCGGGATCGTCGTCCATAATGACTCTCCTGCCTCTCACCGTCCTGATGGCTGCTGCTGCTAGGTCATCACGTCGGCGTGCCTCGCGTGCCATAGGCAGACCGTCAGTCCCTGAAGTCTCCCCCTCTTGGCGTCGATCTAAGGGCACGTGTCGGGTCTGCCTCAGTCGTGTAACAACATCAGGCTCCTCCAAAATAATCGACGCCTCTCTCAAACCGTACGTCTGTGGCGGATCCACTGCGCTCGTCGTGGCACTGCCTGCACCCTCACGTCTGTCGTCACCGTCACCACCACTGCCACCGCCGCCACCCCCTCTACCGCCAAACCCTGCAGCTACAACATCTCGACGTGTCACGCTCGTGGAAACCCCTATCAAACCTGGCTGACGACCGACACTCGCCATCGTCACCCGTCTCATCTCACTCCATGGTCGATCTGTTCGACCGAACAACATGGTGTCCAACAACTCCCGCGCACGCTGGGTAGTGTCTCTCCGTCTACGGTCAACTGACCTCGGGGTGAGGCTGCCGCCCTCCCTCGGAGCTGCGCTCAAGGGTGACGAAGGGCCTGCGGCGCCTCCAGATGGCGCTGCGAACGAACCTCCAGAAGGTAAGTCCCCTGCGACCCCGCCCGATGCCGCTGCGACGGAACCTCCAGAAGGTGAGCCCCCTGCAGCCCCGCCAGATGGCGCTGCGACGGAATACCCAGAAGGTAAGCTGGGGCTGTTTGGCCCCCAAGATAAGTCCTGCACGTGAGGCAGCTTCCCCTCCCCTGGGACTGACCTCAAAACGCGCTGGTCGATCTCCGTCAAATCCCTCCGGCCGTGGTCCTCCAACTCCTCAGCGGTCATAAAACCAAAAGGGAGGCTGCCTCGAGGCGTAGCCACATGCCTAATCTCCAGCCTCGTCCGTGACGGCGCAAAAGTAGGGACCGGGGGTATGCACGCCCCCCTGCCTACACGTCGCTCCTCGACCGGGCCACCGCCATGTGCAGGACGCCTAAAACCCTCCAAAAACGGTGCCTGATGTGGCCCCACTGGCCCCACAGCAGTGCGAACCACCAAAGTCTGTGACATACCAACGGTCGCCGCTACGGCCCCGTCCTCCCCGGTGGTCGGCGCTATCCCCTCCGCCTGTGCCAATGGGCGAATATCATCAACGCCCACTGACTGCCCCGTCGGTATGTCCTCCAGACCCGGGGACATATGCACGGCACCCTTGACTGAACCCGCAGGCAGAGGCACGCCCGCGACCTCCTTCAATGTCTCCTCTCGCCTCCGCTCCACGGCAGGATGCTGCGCCGGCTCTGAACGTGGCTCCTCTGTCGGTGCCAACCCGCTCTCGTGTGTCCCCTGCTGGACATCCACTCCCGTACTCGAAACCTCTGCCGACGCTGCCTCCCGCTGCGTCGTGTCATGAACCTCTGTCAGAGTATCCGTGTGGGCAGCTGGCCCCTCGTCAACAGACGCCGGCGTAAATGTCCCCAACTGCCTCTGTCGGTCCTCGGCCGCAAGACGGGCGAGCTCCTACATCCTGGGGTCCCTCTGTGCCATGAGGCACGCTCGACGACTATCAAGCCTATCCAGCCTCTCTGCAGATGTCTCTCCAGGGGGTGTCCGGTCCTCATCCCCCTCTGCCCCCAACATCACCTCTGCGCGCATGGCAGGGGAGAAACTACTCGGGTCCGCGAAGCTGATCTGTCCCAATAAGTCCTGCATACCACGGGACTCGTTCTCTCCTAGGGCCAGACCCACACTCTCTCCCGGGGGCATACCCATATCGTCAACTCACTGAAACCGCCTCCGCCACCCATCGGTATCCCCTCAACCGCCGCATCAGCCTCGACACCGCCTCCACCTCCGGCCAGCGCACCACCATCTCCACCAACCAACCCATGTCTGTCTCTGTCGTCACCCTGCACCGACACAGGACCGTCCTCCAATCTGTCCTCCAATCGCTGTCTCGGGCCCCTCACCAATCTCTGCAATCGATCTGCAACGGCTGGCTGTCGATGAAGCTGCTCCGTCAAAGTGGGAAGAGCGGTGGATGATGTCGTGCCAGAGCGACCCAGAGGACGATGGCCAATCCCCGATTCTGCCCCCCTCGAAGGTGCAGACCCAGGATCTGTCTCCCGCTCAGCGGGAAGCGAAACGGTGGACGTAGGCCTCGAACGCTCTAAAGGGCTCCCATGATGACCCCCAGACTCCTCCTCCAAATCAACCTGAATGAAAAGGTCATCTCCGCCACTCCGTCTACGGACGTCCTCTGGGTCGCTCCACTCATCACGCTCATCCGCCGTAGGAGTGGTGCTATCGGGGCCCGCCGGCTCGTCCTCGTCCTCGTGACCCTCGGAATCACTATCGTCTCAAGGGTACGGGTGCAATGTGGCGGCTCGAGTCCCGAAAACATCGCCCACATCACCCGGAGGAGCTCTGGACCCACATGGGTCTCGCAGCCATGAACGTCTCTGATCCTCGACCTCCTCCGGTGTCCTACTCTCGTCCGCCCCCTTCCACGAGGGGCGAATCCCGATACCTCCCTCCACGTCCAACAACGACTCATCTAGAGTCCACGGCAGCGCGAACCCGCGACCTGCTCGCTGATGAGATAGAAGGCGGACGTTGGCTGAGATCTCAACCAACTCTGCGACCTTCTCGAACTCAAGCCGGTTACGCTTCTTCGTCTGTACACCCTCGTGGACGGCCCAATTCCTCTCCGCAAGAGAGGAGCACGTCCACATGTACATCACACGAAGAGCGATAACCTGCAACTGCGGGGCGCACTGCCCGTACCTCGACCACCAACACCCGGACTCGTACGTCTCCGCATCGCCCCTGCACCTCTGTGCATCTCTGTCTCCGTCTCTCCCCCCCCAAGCAATCGTCCCCCTCCGTGTGTGGAAGTCGCGCAACTGTGCACATGCGGTCTCGTAG